AGAAAAATTGTTTATAAATTTGATGTTTTTTTGAAGTTATATCAGACATGAAAGATGTTTTAATGTGGATGATAACTTAAAAACTGGGGGATTGGAAAATTTTCGAACATTATTTTTTAAAATTTAAATTAAATAATATCTTTTTTTTTTCCAGTCGTTGAAGCCTTCAGTTGTCGTTATCACGTTGATGATAACACCGCAACTGACTGTCATATTTAAAAAAAAAAATCAGATACAGAAAAAAATTTTTCTTGAAAATTCACGCAAAATTTACTAGCAACAAGCACCTACAATTTACAGCTACTACTCACAATAATTTATAGATCCGCTAGTTGATTAGAGCTATAGATGTAGGGCACTACAGCTATAAATATAGCTATCATTTCGGTGTAATTAAAGCTATTAATTTTTTACTAAGATGCGTGGCATACGATGTACGGTTAGTATACTTGGTATTGCATAACTTTTTTTTAGTTCAGAAGCCCATGTTATCCCAGAGACTCATGTATATTGAAAATAACATACGCTGTTTTTCACCAAGAGTACAGTAATATAGAATTATAATTTTTAATATGCACAAAGTATAATCAATGTTTGACTGTTCATAATGTGCTCTGTCATCAAAAGCATAAGGAATGTAGAGGTGGAGTAAAGGATGTCAGAAATGGCATTTAGTACGACATAAAAATTGTACTTAGTCGCATACCCCAGAAATTGTGGTATGGACATAACTTCTTTTTGATTTTTGCCTATATTATGCTCAACTTAGATTCAAAGTAGAAATAAAGTAACACACAACCACCCTTGAGCTCCGTGCATCTTAATATTACACGCAACCTTTTTTCTTCTTAAAATGATAAGAAGCGTTGTAAAAACATGCACCATGTACCGTGAATCATGACTTCTACTAGGTCCATGTATGGTAGGCAGTATGAATAATAGTCAGGCTTACCTCATGACAGACACAGTCGCCACAACGAATACTCAAACAATGTCTACAAAAATAAATCTTTGCAATAGACTTCAGAGATCCACAGCTGCACATGTACTGTACATGTTCGGGTTGCGTTAAATAAGCCATTCAAGTAGTATATAAAGATCGCGATCTTTCTGAAAGAAAAAAAATCTTTTCAAACTACTTATTTACTATAAAACTCAAGAGTCCTTCAACTTCATGCTATCTTACTTCACTGTAAGGGCCTACACAGCAACGCAATGTTGTATAGGCCCTAACACTGATTCAGAAGTTTTAATCATAGACATATACGAACTAGACTGCTCGTTCTTGTGTACGGCGCCTAGACATGTAAAGAATAGACTGCGCGTTCTTAGTACGCAGCGTTGGGTTGGGCAGATTCAATATCGAAACTTTTTCCCTAGATCGTATATATAGCTATACAATCTAGGGAGAATGTTCCATCGAGCAGACAGCACAGCAGTGAAGGGGCATTGCCAAAGACACGCGAAAATTAAAAATTTTAAATATTAATAAGACAAGTGCCTATCACCCAATGACTCGGGGCGCTTACTGGCCTCTCAATTAAATAAAAAAGTATTAATTATTTACACAAGACCCTATCACCCGATGACCTGGGGTGCTTACTGGCCACTCTGTTAAATGAAAAAGTATTAATTATTTACACAAGATCCTATCACCTGATGTCCCGGGGCGCTTACTGGCCTCTCTATTGAATAAAAAAGTATTAATTAATAGCACAAGCGCCTATCACCTAGTGACCCGGGGCGCTTACTGGCCACTCTGTTAAATAATAAAGTATTAATTATTAACACAAGCTCCTATCACCCGATGACCCGGGGCGCTAACTGGCTGCACTATTACATGATAAAATATTAATTATTAACACAAGCGCCTATCACCCGATGACCAGGGGTGCTCATTGGTCGCTTTATTAAATAATAAAGTATTAATTATTAACACAAGCGCCTATCACCCAATGACCCGGGGCGATAACTGGCCACTCTGTTAAATAAATAATTTTTAATAACACAAGCTCCTATCAC